GAAAACAGTAGCTCACACTTCTGCTTTTCTGGGGTGCTAGGCTAATTGTGAAAACGCAAAGGAAAAAGACCTAAAATTTGGCTACCTCTTTTATGACTGGGAATAACATGTTTGCTCCTCTGCTGGTTTTATAGGAGCTTTCCGCAACTTCAGCACCACGGACTCTGCCCTGAAGCTCTGTCCCTGGCTTTTACTGCGTTAATGAACCACCGCTAGGTTTTTGTTGCCGGCTGGTGGCTAGCAGTAGGTCTTTACCTCTTGCCCTTGATACCTGGCCAGCACAATTAGCACCTTATTATAGGCTGGCCTCTTGTTTAATTACCACGAGTCTCAACTGAGCATTTTATTTTATTGTCTTGTTCATGCACTAGTCCAAGTGCCTGGGCTCTCCAGCTACAAGTTCTGAACTTCTTTTAGGGAGGCATGTGTTTGCAGTTTACCTCTTCAGGCCCTGAGCACACTACTCATGAGCATGCAAACAACTACTTCCTGCTTGTCTGAAGAGCTTCTAGGAGCCTATTCTGGGTGTAAAGCACATGGTTGGAATTGGGTCTCCATGCCTATCTCAATCCTCTGTACCAGGTCCATTGGCCCGCGCTGCTATTAAGTGCCCTCCTCAGCTCCTTTGGGTTAAGCTCTACTCAGCCTTTTAGATGAGGGAAAAGGTGAGTAACCTCATCTAAAAGGTGTCAGACAGGAATTTCTCATTAGCACCACATTCTATGTTCCTCTAAAAAAAAAAAAAAAGATTTAAGAGATGGGAGTTTATGTTTGAACAGACTCCTTGCTTTAACATTAAAACAAACTATAGCTTATAGGGCAGTTACCAATTCCATTACCAACAGAGGCCTGCTTCAGCAAACACTCCAGGGAATGTAATGGGGCCTGGGGAGAGACTGCCCAAACGGATGGTTAGGTGTACAAGTATGGGAGCCAGATTATCTGGTCTCAAATCCTGGCTCTGCCACTTACTACCTTGGTCTAGACCAGCAGTCGGCCAACTGGTGGTCCGAGGATCAGGTCCAACAGGTTGGCGACCGCTGGTCTAGACAATTACCCTCTCTGCACCCCAGTTTCCCAATCTGTAAAACAGAGATAACTGTAGCTGTCTCACAGAGCTATTGTGAGAACTGAATCAGGTAATCTTTATAAAGTGTTTTAAAACAGTTCTTGGCATATAATAATCACTAGGCAAGTTTGTGTTAAACAGAATTAATAGAGCACAGAGATTTAGAATAGACAGACCTACAAAACAGTATGCTCCCCAAAGAATCTGACAGTGATGGAAAAATTAGCTGTTTTAATAGAATGTGCTATCCCTGGCTTCTTGATTTTCTGGCTAACATAGATTCTTTAAATTGCTTCAATAAACCAAAAAAGAACTCTGAATTTATGGGTTTTTTAAATGTCTAATGCTTGACCTAGCTGGTCTGGCTCAGTGGATAGAGCGTTGGCCTGCAGACTGAAGGGTCCCAGATTTGATTCTGATCAAGGGCACATGCCTGGGTCACAGGCTCCATCCCCAGTAGGGGGCGTGCAGGAGGCAGTTGATCAATGATTCTCATCATTGATGTTTCTCTCCCTCTCCCTTCCTCTCTGAAATCAATAA